AGAACGTAATGTAGAAAATTTCCGACCGAATGATTTATTTCAGACGCCCGGGAGGACGTGTATCCTGTACTTATTCGTGAAATAAGACGCGGGCGTCTTCGTTATTTTTATTCGACAACCACAAAGTGGCTTTTCAGAGCCCGCGCCGTTGAACACAGTTTGCTGAAACTCGGAGCTCGGGGACCCTCGACGGCCGAGGTAATCGAACTCGTCCCCAATGTTCGCGTGCTTCCTGCCCGCTCCGAGGTCACGATCGAGAGTACCCGCGCGCTGGTGGACGCGCGGCGTGCGTTTCCTGCGAATTTCGCGGCGTATGTAAGCCGAATGCCGCCCAATAAAGGATGAACAGCGCGCGACTGTAAATTCCCCAGCGAGTAGCGGCAGTTACTCCGTCGTGTGACGCGCGGGCATCTTCAGCGTGGCTCGTGGCTTCCTCTTTGCCATTCAGGTTGAGCTCTCAGCCAGAAGAGAGAGACCAGATCGAAGATAGAGACGATCTACAGCCCGGCCGAACAGTAAACACTCGGCTAGACTCGTACCCGCCATCTCTCTCTCTCCGCTTCTCCTCGCGCGGATCGCCGCTTCGTGGCATCCCGTTTGCCGTACGAGAGAATTCGCATAGCCGATAAATGACGATTATTAGCGCGGAAAGTCGGCAAAAATCGGAAACATTTCAGTTAGGAGCGATAACGAGTTGCACGCGACTCACTCAATCAGGAGTTTGTCGCAATTAGTTGAAAATAATTGGAGCGATGGAATTCCCTCTGTTTATTGAATCCGATCGCGCCTGTTTATCTCCGCGCGTTTATTCTCCTTCCCTCACTCGTTATTCAGCTGACGCTGCGAGAAATATTTGTTGGCAATTACCACGTGATCCGAGTACCGGCGAAAGAAACGCGGCAAGAAGAAGAGGGAAGAATCCGCGGCTATAACGTTGCCAGGATTTATTGCGCAGGGCGCATGTGCAGCGTCGTGAGATTCCAGTCAAGACAATGCGTTCCTTTGTCTCTTCTCGTAGATATTCCCCCCCCCCCCCGCCCTGTTGAAAGCTACAAGACCAATCGGGTTTCTTCAGCTCCATTTTTCCATCCGCGAGTCCCGCTGTCATGTACGTCAGCAATATCCCTCGATAATATTGTCCACGTCGCGGGCGTCTTTAACGCACGAAGCACGTTTCCGCCCGATTTATCGCGGAAAGTTCCGTTGCGACTGAGCGAAGGCGAAGAACGAAGTTTAAACGCGCTTTTTACGCCTCGTCCTTGCAACACGATACAGCACGATCTTCGGATTTCCCGTCATCGGTGTCGTTGCGTTCGCTCACGTACAGATTGTCGTGAAACCGGAATGAGTCCTGGAACTGTGCGTGACGCAACGGATAATCGATAAGCTATTCTTTGAACCTTTCAATTCTCGAACGTCTTCATTTTCCGCACTTCTGACAAACGAGTCAGAAGCCTTTTTCGGGAACAGTCGGAATCGCTGCCGATGGAAATTCCGAAAATGTAGTGTCGATTTCAACAAAGGTCCGCTGCTCACGTGCATCCGCCGACGAGTGCGCGCCGAGTCGAATGCCCGAGCCGCGACGAGCGCGCCGAGCTTCCTCGAGAGACTTAGAAGTTAATTTTCCCGGGTAAGTTTATCACTCGTAGACTCGTTTTGTCGGAAATCGCACGACTTCGCGGAATCGCGATTGAGAGAGCGTACACGGAGCGCCGGCGACGCAGCGACCGACGTTCCTCTCTCTTTGGCGAGCTCGCCACTTTGTAGCGATGCGATGGTTCGAGGCGAATTCATTCCTGACGCACCCGCGGGAATACTTTATGGAATCGCCCTTGAGACGCGGGCTCGCGGATGCTTCCGCGGCTGCTTCGAATGCCGAGGGACGCACGGAGTGCATTTACGCGGAACGGAAATAAAAAATCGCGGCGGAGTCGAACGAAGTAACATTCGTTGCGCGAGATGCCGCAAAATTTTGCACAGTGCGCGTCGTTGCTTATGGAAAAAAAAAAAAAAAACGTTTGTTTGTACTCGTGCGTTTTTCGTACGGCGAAACCGTAGGCTTCGTGCGAGATCGAACGGTGCGAACGCTCGAACTGTAACGGATAAAACGTCTTCTTCTTCCGCTTCTTACGGCTTACCGATGGGCAAACACTCGAGCCAGCGAGCGACGCCGCGCTCTCTCGACCCGTTATCTCTTATCGCGGACGATCCAGCCACCCTCGACTCGGCGATTCCGGCGCGAAAGATTGAGCCGTAAAGATAAAGCCCGTCTCCTTTATTTTCTCGTAATGATCGGCGGAGTCAGTCGGAATATCGTTGCCGCGTACAGATGCGCGCGCGCGCGCGCGCGTTACTGTAAATATTAAACAGAAATATACTTGCGTTAATGTACCCCGCGTCGCGCGCTCGCTCGTTTGCAAAGAGAACGGGGCAAAAATCATTTCTCAACGTCGTTCCCGCTTGGATAACAGTGATTACGTCGACCGACACTTTAGAATGCGGCTCTCACCCGCGGCTCGAATCAATCACAGCCGGGTATTTACATGGAAGATTATAGTTATGTCGCGTCGCAAATCCGTAGTTCCACGACGTGTACATGTGATAATAATTGCGAGTTCGTAGGTCATCAATCGACCGATAAAGACTCTGGTCATGATAATCGCTTACTGTTTTACACGTCGGGTCTCTCTCTCTCTCTCGCTCGCGGCAGTCATCGACAGCCTCTCTCTCTCTCCCTCTCTGTCTTTATTCTAAAGAGATTTGAATTATCAAAGGTCGCCCGGATCGTTACCGGCGACTCGGCGTAGATCGGTGAGTCGCGAATCGGCACCGTGCGAATGTCGTTGACCCGCTTGGAGAGTTTTACAGGCTCGCGCGGAAAGATCGGCGGCGAGCAGGCAGGCGCCGGATCACGGCCGTCCGCATCAACGCGCGCCATTCTCACGGTGCGCCGATTATCCGGCAAAACGCCGCGCGCGGCTTTCATCTCATTTTTCCCCCCGTCGCTCGACATGCGTCCACTTTTCCCCGGATCCACCTCGGAACAAGATCGGTCGGGCTGAAATCGCTCAGGGAAGGATAGAGATCGCTGCGCGCGGCGCGCCGGGACGATGTTGCGTCGAGTATTTTAATGAGAAGTCCGCGGCGGCGCAATTCCAAGCTGTCACACGATCGCTAAGACGATCGCGGATGCAATAATCCCGCGGTACACCACTTTCGGTGCACGGTAGGAGCTAGTCGCGAGACGAAAGGGGGAGGGGGGGGGGAGGAAAGGGGAAAAAAAAAACGTCGCGAGCTGTTTATCTAGATCAATAATCGGGTTTGCGCTCGCGGCCGTTTCGGTCGTCGGCGCCGGGAGTCGTTGATCCTCACCTTCGCCGTATCGGACGTTATCGGTCTCGATCTCTCTCGCCTGCGCCGCGATTCGAGCGACGCTCGAATGCGTGTACAGCGTCGTGGCTCTTAGCACGTAAACTGCTCTTTACAACCTGCCAAGACCTCGCCTCTTACCTCAATCATCCGGTTACCGGTAATTACGATCGGTCGATCGTCCAGAACCAATTACGTCGGCAATTTTTACCGAGTAATTCGATCGCCATCGCGCGCGAAGAGAGAGAGAGAGAGAGAGAGAGAGGACTCCGCGCGATGCGTAGCCAATAACCGGCACGACGTTACATTATCGCGGGACGGTTATTCGATTTTCGCACCGGCGATTGCCTCGACGCACCGACCGCTCGTCTTCTCCGAGACGGCGGCGCGCATGCGAGAGCGCGTAACGCTGCCGGATGAAATCATTCGGCATTGAAGCGAACCGCTTCCTCGAGTCATCGTAATCATTTCTCACTCGCTCGTTAGAACGAGGGGAATATTACCGAAAGAAGCGAGCGCGCGGCGTGCAGCGGGCTGGCTGCACGGAAGCGTCGAATCCGCGAGCCAATATTTGATTTCGCATCAGCGAAAGGCGCGAGGATACTCGAAAACGGAATTTCAGTCAGTTTCCTATCTCGTTGATAATCCGAGGTGGATTTCGAAATATCGACTCGAACGGTAAATCAACGTTCGGACAAAGGCGCGCGAATGCGCGAGGGGCATTTTTCGCCGCGAGTGATTTCTGACTCGCAGGCGATTAAGTCATTTGCACAATTGGTTTCTTCAACGGCGATAAACCAGTTGTAGATTATCCGCGAGTGCAATTGGCACCGTCATTAAGTCGCTCCGTCCGAGCCGTCTTCTTCTTGCCCGTCCTCGCCCTTCCGCGGCGTCACGAAGGCCGGGGCGCATCTTTAACGAGCGTTTTCTTTCGTCCAACCGACAGCGAACAATGGAACACGGCGATGGCCGGGCAAGCGGCAAGAAGCGTCTCTGCGCAAATCCGATTTCGCGAAAAAACGCCTCGGGCACGGCGACGTGAAAGACGGAGCGGAGAGTCGCCGATGAATGCCGCTCTCGGAGGAACTGCGCTTCTCGGAACGCGCCTTGCGCGCTTTTTCCTCGCGCGCTACCTCTGGAACGAACCTTTACCCGGGACACAAGTATCTACGCGTATAAAGGGTCGCGTTCAATGCCGTGACGCTCTCGCGAGATCCGAGATTGACACCCGAGGCGAATCGGCGAATCACCCGGCGAGCGGCGCCGGGAGCGCGGATCGAACATCGCGAATCGAGGAATCCCGGTGTGTTTCTACGCCGCCGGACGCGGCCGCTTTCACGGTTCGATTTGGAATTCGGTGCAAGCCGGCGCAGCGGACGAGAGGCACTCTCGTAACACTCTCGCGCCCAAGGCGACGACAGGGCCATCGACCTCTCCGTCCGTCGATTTTACTCCTCGCCGCGCGAGGAAACCGTTTTACTGTAACGTCTCGCGCGCCGCGCGAGACGGCAAAGTGTGCGAAGGGCAAACAGACGACGAGAACGAGGAATCCGCTGGACGCGGATCTTCGAACGTGTGATGAAAGCGTACGGGACATTGACATTTTTTCTTTCTTTTTTTTTTTTCTACAGGTAATACGACCGGAGGAAACGGAGAGTTCTTCCTCCTTCGCAGTTCGACGAAACCGAAAACGCCGAGCCGTTAAGTCGAGAGAGGATCGGGCGAGGCAGCGACGAGTGAACCGCACGAAGCCGGTAGCGCGGAGCGAAACAAGCGAGTGAGTTACTTGCTTGCTTTCTTCATCAGTGCGCAGTCCCAGAAAGCGCTTGTTTACACAGTCGCCGCGTACGTG